ATGCTCGTGGAGTAGCGCAGAGACTTAGTGTCTCGATTTAAAATGTGCGCTGTGGTAAACACGTGCCGTTTCCCAAACATAACTGTGCACCAAGCCCCTGCGGGCGTCGGTGTCAGCAACGCATCATCGTCAGTTGAACAGTCGCGAACATCGATGTTCACTGTGTGCCCAACATTGGGGTGGACTGGGGACAGTGATCTGCGCGTGAATTAGTTTATAGTGGTAACTGACTTGCGCAGCATCTACCGCACTCTCTCCTACCTCACTCACCCAGGCCCAGTGATGGTCAGAGGCGAGATAGGGCACAGTGGCTGGCAAGTGCAAACGGATCGTCTACGCGTGCCGCACGCGACTTGACCTGAGCAAGGTGGATCAGATTCTCCCACAAACAAGGGGGGGGGGGTGATTCCGGTACCACCTGAGTCAAAGAGTCAGATCAGCCGCATTAAGCAGGAGCCACTTCAGCCTCACCTTCCGTCCTGACAGAAGGGGGGAGTTTTCCCGTCACCGAAGTGGTCAGGAAGTAGTAACTCTGACTCACCTGGGATCGTCAGCTCCGCAGCCATAGCCACTGCCTTCAACCGTTTACAGCCTAAACCCTCATCTACCGAAACAACGGACTATAGAAGCGGGTATTTTCAAACATGGACATGCTCATTTCATAGTGCTTTTGTTGCAGTTTAAGTGTTTAGCGTCCGGAAAAGTATAGACACCTGTGAGGACACCAACTCGAGTACGAAAAAGTTGCTTTGTGTTCTTTTGAAAATAACTAGATAACGCAGTCCGTGTTATACATGTTATACGTGTTATACATTGTCAATAGAAGCGAAGAGACGAGTCCCAGGAGGCAACCGTGAGCTACTTGAGTCATGGTTCAATGGACCTCAGTCCATTACGAAGTAGAACGACCTTCCCATTCCATACTCGGTGCTGAGACTTCGCCTAGACGGAGTTATAAGCCACGCGGTGAGTGCACAGGTGAACACTCTTCTCAACACCAGGATCGGTGAGTCATATGGTCGAGCAATCATCACACCAACATCCAACACACGTGATGAAATTGCAGCAATTAAAGACGCAGATGTTGGCCATCAAACAGTCAGCACACCAAGTGCAACGATCCCTGATGAAGGGCTGGGAGCCCTCAATATTCATAGGAATGCTGTGGCATGACGATTGCATTCTATAAATACTGCAGCCCTTTGTGCATGAACCACCCGTATCTGCTCTTCTGTGTCTCTGATGATGGGTTCGAGCAGGACTCCTAAACGTCAGGCTAATAAAGCTCTTGTTCCAGCGATCGTGTCTCCTTCTTCATGTTATACGTATTCATATGGCCTATGACGTACTGATGATAGGTAAAGACCGTGAAGCAGCTGCCTGCGTCTGACCTATTGCGCTCCTAGTAAGCTGCTTATGTATTAAATGTGATATGTGTCCCATGACACAACGTTCGTTGTCGTCAGCAGCAAGCTGGCGGCCGGAGAGAATGGGACCGAGTGAGATCCTAACCACAAAAGTGAGGGTCAAACGCTTACTTGACATGTTTATATACTCCACTTCTTATGGCCTACGACATACTGATGATCGAGAACGACCGTGAAACAGCTGTCCGCCTCTGGCCTGTTACACTCCCAATGAGCTGCTTATGTATACATTTGTATTTATGAATGTAGAGAGCGAGACTGTGACTCTGTGACTTCTCAAAAACTGAAGCTTCTGGTCATTTTTAACAAAACACCCTGTTAAGGTCACAACCACAAGGGTGAAAAGCAAGTATGTACTAAACATCATTTCAAATTATGTCCTCGGCTCCAGACAAAACTCTCAATTAACAGGAATCTGACTCAACCGAATAAATTAGAAAGCCCACTATAAGCAAAGTGAGAAGGGTGCGAAAAAGAGTTTGTGAATTTAGCTGCTCCCTTGGTATGGCAAGTATGCAAAATTACCGCCACATGGCCTCTTCGCGCATGGTTACCCTGTCGACTAATTTATCAGAGCAGTGTCTAGTGGCTGAGGACACGTACTGTTATAAGCTTCACAACTGCGATCCATATCTCCTGACTGGCAACCGCAGGTGATTTGGAAGGCAGACATCTTAACCGATAGAAGCGAATGCGTCAGTTCCAGGAAGCAGTTCAGAAGAAGATGCGATCGCTGAAACAAGAGGTCAATTGGCCTAACATTTTGCGGTTCTCAATCGAACCCATAATCAGAGAAAGTTGCAGATAACGATGAGGGAGTCACAATGAATGTAGTATTTATAGGCCGCAGTTGTCACGCAACCACATTCCTGATATGGTTGGCAGCTCCCGCACTCATCACCGTGGATCGTAATTGATGCGATGACTGCTTGCTAGTTCGTGCCCAAGTTGAAATGAAATCACTGTTGTGGATTCTTGATGTGACAACTTATTGGTCATTTGGCGTTGACACTGGAATTGTCAGTCGTCCGCGTCCTCCCCTCATGGCCTAGGTAAAGTCTCAGCACAGAATTTGGGAGCCAGGAGGTCAATTCGGAGAGCCATGACCCAAGCAGCTCGCAAATCATGCGGTTCAGATCAGTTTTATCAAGGGAAGGGTAGATGAACGCCTTTGAAATCCCTTTTGGTTAAGATAACGTCGGAAAAAAGACACCAATAGAAAAAAACGCTGGGAAGAAGATTTGCTATAGAATTGCATGCAACAAGCGTGTAACTACTTGGTAAATACTTGTGTATCAAAATACGCGTGGTATGGCAAAAACTGTAGACGCATAGACGTTTGCTACTTAGATATGTCAAGTAGCGTGGAAACTGACATTTAAACGTCAGCCAGAATGCACTGAACCACATGTCATCTGGCGGAACATTCAACGGAACAACTACAAAATAGTGTTACTGAAACGTTTAAATTTCAGGGCGAATGACACAAGGGAGAAACTTTTCAGATGGCTTGGTGGTCTCTGTGGTTGTACTGCTCGAGCTTCCTCTTAAAAGTGACAAGGTCGACAGACAGAGAATTCCATGCCTTGATCACTTTGTTTGGGCAGAAAGACCTCCTTGCGTCCAGTCTGACTTCAGTCACACTTTGACTGAAAGGATGTTCTCTCAAGCTAGTAGCTTAGCCCAGTTCAAAAATGTCGCCGGATGCGAGATAACAACCCTGACCGCACAGCATTTGAAACGTTCTTATTAGGTCGCCGTGCAGCTGTCAATAGTCCATAGGAAAAAGGTCAAGACTGGACAGTCGTTTTGTGTAAAGCATGTAGCCTTGGCCTTGGACAAGCTTGGTTGCACGTCGTTGGACCTTTTCAAAGGTGCTGCAGTCCGTGAAAGTCCACTATCGCCAGGCCTGAACAGCAAATTCTAACTGTGGTTGCACGAACATCTCGAATACCTTATCAAAGCACAATTCACAGAACTTCATAATGCCCACTCGATGAGATACAGCTTCACAATGCGGATTTAGTTTCCCTCAAGCAGGGAACTGATGGCCTCGGTGAAGGCGTGATCCACACTCATAGATCCTCCTGAACCTCTATCTCCATTAACGGTGAGTGCTTCAGACAGTGCATTTTCTGGTGCTCAGTGCTGGTTCCGCTAAATCGCAGAATGTTGAATTTGGTAACATTGGACGGAAGGAGCCAATGGTTTGGCCATTGCTCGAGTCTGTGAAAGTTTATCCGAAGATTTTCCTTATCATCTTCGTTGCAGATGATGTTTCAAAGCTTAGTTTCGTTAGTAAACAGATTTAGCCGTATGGCTGGCTGACGACGGCTAATAAGCCAGAAATGGCCATTCCAGTCTCCCTTGTCTTTGTCGGCAATAGCATTCTGCCTATATATCATGCGCCGCCGTGCGGCTGCTGGTTGGGCTCGAGAGAGAGTCCATAAGGCACAACGGAACGAGTGAGTTCCGTATGAACGATCGGTGAGCGCCCCCTAACATTGTATATTCCCGATCGAAAACCGACAAGGCAACGGGCTCGTGGCCCGGTAAGTAGAGGCGTTGACTTCTAAACCAACAGGTCGCGAGTTCGAGGCTCGGGTGTTCCACACTTCGGGCTTGGGTATGGCTGGCTGACGACGGCTAATAAGCCGGAAATGGCCATTCCAGTCTCCCTTGTCTTTGTCGGTAATGTTATTCTGCCTATGTATCATGCGCCGCTGTGCGGCTGCTGGTTGGGCTCGAGAGAGAGCCCTTAAGGCACAACGGAACGAGTGAGTTCCGTATGAACGATCGGTGAGCGCCCCCTACCACTATATATATATATATATGCCTCGCGTTCATCATCCCCCGAAGAAGACGAAGAAGATAGGGCGTATTCATGGACCGAGTTATATTTGTACTGACGTTTCGGAAACCCTCTCGTTTCCATCATCAGAGCAATGTGTTGACAGTTCCTGCTGGTCTTGATTGCGTCAGCCTTGATACCTGCCTGGTATTATATCCGTGCGCGAGGCACGAACTCTGACCTGCCCGTTCGCCGCCAGAATGGTATGCAGAATGGTATTACCGACAAAGACAAGGGAGACTGGAATGGCCATTTTTGGCTTATTAGCCGTCGTCAGTCAGTCATTCCCAACTCCGAAGTGTGGAACATCGGAGGCTCGAACTCGCGACCTGTTAGTTAGAAATCCACGCCTCTAACCACTGGGCCACGAGCCCGTTGCCCTGTCGGTTTCGATCGGGAATATACAAAGGTAGGGGGAGCCCACCGATCGTTCTTACGGAACTCACTCGATCCGTTGTGCCTTACGGGCTCTCTCTCTCTAGCCCAACCAGCAGCCGCACAGCGGCGCATGATATAGGCATAATGGCATTACCGACAAAGACAAGGGGGACTGGAATGATCATGGCTTATGTCAATCACAGAAGGGTAGCAGGTTCTGGTCTATCATGACTGCAGAATAGGAATCAGACGTCCCGTCCAGAGCACTCTGAAGCGTTGCACAGCGGCGAACAATCGGTAATTATGAAGTATATAAGCGAGGCTTGTATGAGTCTCATACATGC